AGAGATTAATGTGCATTAATTATGCCCTGCTACTTTACCAAATTCATTGATTAGCTCTAGTAGCTTTCTGGTAGCATCTTTAGCATTCTCTATGTATATTATCATGTCATCTACAAACAGTGACAGTTTTACTTCTTTTCTGATTTGGATTCTTTTCATTTCTTTTTCTTCTCTGATAGCTGTGGCTAAAACTTCCAAAACTATGTTGAATAATAGTGATGAGAGTGGGCAACATTGTCTTCTTCCTGATCTTAGAGGAAATGGTTTCAGGTTTTCACCATTGAGAACAACATTGGCTGTGGGTTTGTCATTTATGGCCAATACTATATTGAGGTAAGTTCCTTCTATGCCTACTTTATGGAGAGTTTTTATTTTAAATGGGTGTTGAATTTTGTTGAAAGCTTTTCCTGCATCTATTGAGATGATCATATGGTTCTTCTCCTTCAGTTTTTAATATGGTGTATCACGTTGATTGATTTGAGCATACTGAAGAATCCTTGCATTCCTGGGATAAACTCCACTTGATTATGGGGTATGATCCTTTTAATGTGCTTTTGGATTCTGTTTGCTAGTATTTTGTTGAGGATTCTTGCATCTATGTTCATCAGTGATACTGACCTGTAGTTTCCTTTCTTTGTGACATCTTTGTCTGATTTTGGTATCAGGGTGATGGTGGCCTCGTAGAATGAGCAGAGGCGTGTTCCTCCCTCTGCTATATTTTGGAAGAGTTTGAGAAGGATAGGTGTTAGCTCTTCTCTAAATGTTTGCTAGAATTCAGCTGTGAAGCCATTTGGTCCTGGGCTTTTGTTTGTTGGAAGATTTTTAATCACAGTTTCAACTTCAGTGCTTGTGATTGGTCTGTTTATATTTTCTATTTCTTCCTGGTTCAGTCTTGGAAGGTTGTGTTTTTCCAAGAATGTGTCCATTTCTTCCAGGTTGTCCACCTTATTGGCATGTAGTTGCTTTTAGTAGACTCTCATGATCCTTTGTATTTCTGCAGTGTCAGTTGTTACTTCTTTTGCCTTTCTAATTCTGTTGATTTGAGCCTTCTTCCTTTTTTTCTTGATGAGTCTGGCTAATGGTTTGTCAATTTTGATAACCTTCTCAAAGAACCAGCTTTTAGTTTTATTGATGTTTGCTATTGTCTCCTTCATTTCTTTTTCATTTATTTCTGATCTGATCTTTGTGATTCCTTTCCTTCTGCTAACTTTGGGGTTTTCTGTTGTTGTTATTCTTTCTCTCATTGCTTTAGGTGTAAGGTTAGGTTGTTTATTTTGAGATTTTTCTTGTTTCTTGAGGTAGGATTGTATAGCTATAAACTTCCGTGTTAGAATTGCTTTTACTGCATCCCATAGGTTTTGTGCCGTCATGTTTTCACTGTCATTTGTTTCTAGGTATTTTTTGATTTTGTCTTTGATTTCTTCAGTGATCTCTTGGTTTTTTGGTAGCATATTGTTTAGCTTCCATGTGTTTCTATTTTTTACAGTTCTTTTTCCTGTAATTGATATCTAGTCTCATAGCATTGTGGTCGGAAATGATACCTGATACGATTTCAGTTTTCTTAAATTTACCGAGGCTTGATTTGTGACCCAAGATATAATCTATCCTGCAGAATGTTCCATGAGCACTTGAAAAGAAAGCGTATTCTCTTGTTTATGGATGGAATGTCTTATAAATATTAATTAAGCCCATCTGGTCTAATGTGTCATCTAAAGCTTGTGTTTCCTTGTTTATTTTCATTTTGGATGATCTGTCCATTGGTGAAAGTGGGGTGTTAAAGTCCCCAGCTGTTATACTGTCAATTTTTTATGGTTGTTAGCACTTGCCTTATGTATTGAGGTGGTCCTATGCTGGATGCATAAATATTTACAATTGTTATATCTTCTTCTTGTATTGATAACTTGATCATTATGTAGTGTACTTCTTTGTCTCTTATTATAGTCTTTATTTTAAAGTTTATTTTTTCTGATATGAGAATCGCTACTCCAGTTTTCTTTTGATTTCCATTTGCATGGCGTATCTTTTTCCATCCCCTCACTTTTAGTCTATATGTGTCCCTAGATCTGGAGTGGGTCTCTTGTAGACAGCATTCATATGGTTCTTGTTTTTGTATCCATTCAGCTAGTCTATATCTTTTGTTTGGAGCATTTAATACATTTACATTTAAGGTAATTATCAATATGTATGTTCCTATTACTATTTTCTTAATTGTTTTGGGTTTGTTTTTGTAGGTCTTTTCCTTCTCTTGTGTTTCCTGCCTAGAGAAGTTCCCTTAGCATTTGTTGTAAAGCTGGTTTGGTGGTGCTGAGTTCTCTTAACTTTTGCTTGCCTGTAAAGGTTTTAATTTCTCCATCAAATCTGAATGACATCCTTTCCGGGAAGAGTAATCTTTGTTGTAGGTTTTTTCCTTTCACCACTTTAAATATGTCCTGCCACTCCCTTCTGGCTTGCAGAGTTTCTGCTGAAAGATCAGCTGTTAACCTATGGGGATTCCCTTGTATGTTATTTGTTGCTTTTCCCTTGCTGCTTTTAATATTTTTTCTTTGAATTTAATTTTTGGTAGTTTTATTAATATGTGTTTTGGTGTGTTTCTCCTTGGATTTATCTAGTATGGGATTCTCTGTGCTCCCTGGACTTGATTGACTATTTATTTTCCTATGTTAGGGAAGTTTTCAACTATAATCTCTTCCAGTATTTTCCCAGAACTTTTCTTTTTCTCTTCTTCTTCTGGGACCCCTATAATTCAAATGTTGGTGCATTTAATGTTGTCCCAGAGGTCTCTGAGACTGTCCTCAATCCTCTTCATTATTTTTTCTTTATTCTGCTGTGCAGTAGTTATTTCCACTATTTTATCTTCCAGGTCATTTATCAGCTCTTCTGCCTCAGTTATTCTGCTATTGATTCCTTCTAGAGAATTTTTTATTTCATTTATTGTGCTGTTCATCGTTTGTTTGCTCTTTAGTTTTTCTAGGTCCTTGTTAAACGTTTCCTGCATTTTCTCCATTCTATTTACAAGATTTTGGATTATCTTTACTATCATTACTCTGAATTCTTTTTCAGGTAGACTGCCTATTACCTCTTCATTTGTTTGGTGTGGTGGGTTTTTACTTTGCTCTTTCATCTGCTGCATATTTCTCTGTCTCCTCATTTTGTTTAAGTTACTGTGTTTGGGGTCTCTTTTTCCAGGCTGCAGGTCCGTAGTTCCCGTTGTTTTTAGTGTTTGCCCCCAATGGGTGAGCTTGGTCCAGTGGCCTGTGTAGGCTTCCTACTGGAGGGGACTGGTGCCTGTGTTCTGTTGGGTGGGGCTGGATCTTGTCCTTCTGGTGGACAGGGTCATGTCCAGTGGTGTGTTTTGGGGTGTCTGTGAACTTATTATGATTTTAGGCAGCCTCTCTGCTAATGGGTGGGGTTGTGTTCCTGTCTTGTTAGTTGTTTGGCATGGAGCATTCAGTACTGGAGCTTGCTGGCCATAGGGTGGAGTTGGGTCTTAGCATTGAGATGGAGGTCTCTGGGGGACCTCTTGCCGACTGATATTATGTGGGTCTGGGAGGCCTCTCGTGGTCCAATGTCCTGAACTCGGCTCTCCCACCTTGGTGGCTCAGGCCTGACACCAAGCCAGAGCACCAAAACCCTATCAGCCACACAGCTCAGAAAAGGGAGAAAAAAAGAAAGAAAAAATAATAATAAATTTAAAAATTATTAAAATAAAAAAAATGAAAAAAAAAGAAGAGAGTAACCAAACCAATAAACAAATCCCCCAATGGTAACACGTGCTAAAAGCTAAAGTAAGATAAACATAAAAATCAGAAACAAATAAGTCACAGACAGTACATCCCAAGTCTACAGTTGCTGCCAAAGTCCACCGCCTCAATTTTGGGATGATTCATTGTTTATTCAGGTATTCCACAGATGCAGGGTACATCAAGTTGATTGTGAGGATTTAATCCGCTGCTCCTGAAGCTGCTGGTAGAAATTTCCCTTTCTCTTCTTTTTTCGCACAGCTCCCGGGGTTCAGCTTTGGTTTGGGCCCCACTTCTGTGTGTAGGTCTCCTGAGGACATCTGTTCCCTGCCCAGACAGCACAGGGTTAAAGTAGCAGCTCATTAGGGGGCTCTTGCTCATTCAGGCTGGGGGGTGGGAGGAGTACGTAGTTATAATTGGAATGCGGGGCGAGCCTGCAGCGGCAGAGGCCAGCGTGATGTTGCAACAGCCTGAGGTGCACCATGTGTTCTGCTGGGGAATTTGTCCCTGGATCACAGGACCCTGGTAGTGGCGTGCTGCACGGGCTCCTGGGGGCGGGTGTGTGAATAGTGACCTGCACTTGCACACCAGAGTCTTGGTGGCTACAGCAGCAGCGTTAGTGTTTCATGCCTGTCTCCGGTGTCCAAGCTGAAAGCCATGGCTCATGCCCATCTCTAGAGCTCCTTTAGGCAGTGTTCTGCCTTCTGTGTGCAGATGGAGAAGGAAGCCCCTCTCCTCATGCACCCCGAAACAATGGTCTCTTGACTCACAGGCAAGTCTAGACTTTTTCCCAGACTCCCTCCTGGCTAGCTGTGGCACACTAGCCCCCTCAGGCTGTGTTCACGCAGCCAACCCCACTCCTCTCCCTGGGATCTGAACTCCAAAGCCCAGGACTCAGCTCCCAGCCCCCACCCGCCCCAGTGGGTGAACACATAAGCCTCTCAGGCTGGTGGGTGCTTGTTGGCACTGATCCTCTGTGCAGGAATCTCTCTGCTTTGCCCTCTGCACCCCTCTTGCTGCACTCTCCTCTGTGGCTCTGAAGCTTCACCCCCACCCACCACCCATCTCCGCCAGTGAAGGGGCTTCCTAGTGTGTCAAAACTTTTCCTCCTTCACAGCTCCCTCCCGGAGGTGCAGGTCCAGTCCCTGTTCTTTTGTCTCTGTTTTTTCTTTTTTCTTTTGCCCTACCCAGGTACATGGGGAATTTCTTGCCTTTTGGGAGTCTGAGGTCTTCTGCCATCGTTTAGCAGGTGTTCTGTAGGAGTTGTTCCACATGTAGATGTAGTTTTGATGTATTTTTGGGGAGGAAGGTGATCTCCACGTTTTAGGCCTCCGCCATCTTGAAGGTCCCCCCTCATGTAACTTTTAAGTGAGTTCATATCATGAGGTTATTATCAAGTTCTTGTTATGTTTCTATTAATGCTTCACTGATTAACTCTTACCTTCTAGATATCTACTCTATTCCTTTTATATATATATTATACTCTTGGAATATTTTCCAGTGTGTTTTCCCTGTTCATTTATTTATTTCTGCCATTATTTTCTTTACTTTTGTTTACTCATCATACAATACTGGGGGAAAATAAACTATAAAGCAGCAGCCAACATGAAAAATAGGCAAAGAGGAAGGTGAAAGATAGTATGATCCACGACCTATCATAATACAAAACAAAAAAAATATACAACAGTCATAATCCTATATACAAAGAGACATTATGTACCTGTTGAATTGTCAATTCAATTAAATTTTATTGTCAGAACAAAAAAAAAAAATGAAAACTTGAAAACAGGCTTATGGAGTTAGAATAAGCAAAGGAACTCAACTTTTTTCTACAAGTCTTCTGAACTCAGATTCTGGAGCCATATACATCTGCAACCCAGAGTTCATTATAATGGGGTTATCAGATACTACATACTTGAAAATTCAACAGTAAGACAGAAAGAAAGGAACTGAAGGAGTTAGATTTTAACAGAAAAAGTGCATTAGATTTTAACAGAAAAAGTGCATTTTACAAACTAGATTTATGATAAAGAAAAACAGCTGAGTCAGATGAAGAAGGATATCCTGTACTTGATAAACGCTAAACTACTTCTCAGTCCCAGGCTGCCAAGACCACAGCATAATTATGACCTAGCGGCACAAATAAATTCAACTGAAAAAGCAAATAACTAAATTGGAAACCAAAGGAAATTATTAATAAGAGATACAAAAATAACATCATTTAATTATAAAGTATACTTAAACATCATGAAAAATATATATATCAATAGAAAAATAAAAGGTTTGGGTCCAAAAATTGTAACTCTCTAAGGAAGAAATAGAAATGTTCCAAATATCTAGTAATTATGTATGTGGTATTTTACACATCTCAAATAGTGAAAGAGAAAAATATTAAAGGATATAGCAACATTTGGCATTTTCATCTTCCCAGGATTTTCAAATAGTTCTAGATTAATATTTTGAACATGCCATCATCCATTAGGTCATTGAAAGGGCTATCTTCTTAGGAAATATTTTTCTGAAGTACCCAATTCAATGGTCTCTTGAAAAAAAAAAAGGAAATACATGTTTTTTCTAAATCATTTGAGGTATACTGTCAATTCTCTTTATTCACAGATTTGGTTTTTAAGAATTTGAATACTCACAAAAACTTATTTGTAATCCCAAAATCAACATTCACAACATTTTCACAGTCACTTGTGGACATGACACAGAGCTGCACAAAATGTGAGTCCCCCACAGTGCACTTTCCCAGTTGAGGTGGAGTAGGATGATGCTCTGCCTTCGTGTTGCAATTCTCATACTGTAAACAAGTCTCCTTTGTGCAGTCTATTTAGTACCACTTTACACTCTGTTTTTGTGCTTTTATGTGGATTTTATTTCTGAAAAATGCCCCAAGAGCATAGTATTGAGGGCTATTGTGCTCCTAAGCACAAAAAGGCTCTGATGTGCTTTATGGGAAGAATGCATGTTAGATAAGTGTTCAGGCAAGAGTTATAGTGCTGTAGTGTCTGAGTTCAATGTTAATGAATTAACAATACACACTAAATAAGGTGTTTTTAAGCAGAAACAGACATAAAAGTATGTATTGATCACTTGTCTAAGTGTTGTGAACAGAGGCTCTGCAGGAACCTAACCCTGAATTTCCATGTTTGTTAATTCAGTGTCCACACAACTTGATAGAACAGAACTACCATGAATAACAAGAATTGTCTATATCTCTAATTTTGTCATTTTCCTCTTTTCTTTCATTGTTTGTTTCACGTTTACAAAGTTCCTTATTTCACTTTGGAAACTGGATTTTATTTTCTACTCATGAAATTCACATCAAGAGCAAACAAAAATTATCAGGAGCAAAAACAGTGGAATTCTAAGTACAACTGCTGACCAACTGTATATCAATAATTTCTGGTGGAGGCTTAATCACAAGATTTACAATATAGACTTAGGGACAGAATGACCACTGTACTCAGGAGGTCACTAGGACCTAGACTAGTAATCTAACTAAATGTCCTGTACGATACCACATAAAACAGAGGACAGACTTCAGCCTGAATCTTGAGAATTAGCATTGTAAAATCACTACAAGGATTTCATCATTTTTGTTTTGCTTTCTTTTTTATTGTTCAGGGAATTAAACCTAAAGAAATGCAGATTCAGCACTATCATTCCTTTTGAAATCATATTTGATATGGCAAGAATCATTGTGTTGCCCAACAGGGATTATTATTTTAATGGTAAAATGACTGTCCACATCACAGTTTTGCAAAGTGAAGCCATCAGCTGTTTTGATGGTCCCTATGGAAGTTAATGTCAGAACTATTTTTTCCATTCAAAAACCTCATGATAAACTTGGGACTTTGTATATTTGAGTTACTGATATGAACATCAGATCCTTTAGGGTCTTCTGGGAATTCTATAATTTGATAGTAGGAGCCCAAAACTCCCAGGACAGTTTAGTTCTGAATTTATAAAGATGTATTTCCAGATGCCTTCCATTTCTTGATTTACATCCCAGTCTTCCCTAGGGCTTTAGAAAAGACATTAAGTAAAGGTTTTTAAATGGTTCCTGAGCATATCTCCTTTCTTCAAACAAATAAATGAATGCATCTTAAAAGACTACTGGAAGAGCCATTTAAAACACTTCACTGTTTAACAGAAAAACCTAACAAGATACTGTGCATCTCTGGGTGTGTTTTTAAAATAAGATGGTTTCTGTGAAGAATTCCACACTTAAGGGGAGTATTAGTATTCAAGGAGCATATGTTTTATCATTAATCATTAATGAGACCAAAAACACTTGCAGCAGGAAAGAATAAAGTGCTGATTTGAAGTTGAAAATTGAAATGACCATTTAAAAATGACATGAAGGCCAGAGCAAGTGAAGAAATTCAAAGGAATGTTCATAGGGCCACTTCTTTCAGGCATTTATCATTTGCTAATGTAACGCTTTGACCTAAATTAAACCTTTGAAATCCCATTTCCATTATTTGAACGCCCTTCCTATCCAGTACAATTTTAATAGAAAGATGACTTGGCCACATTATCTCCCATACTCCCTTCCCTTGAAATGATTCTCTCCCTTTCCTCCTCCCAATACCGTAGTCCTCTTCAACACTTCTATAAGTCCCAGTAAGCCAAATAAATGCCCTTTAACTTTAGCAGTTTCTTTTTAACCAAATCCCTTTCTCTGAATCTCTGGCTCATCCAGTTATATAGTTTGTAGAACTAAGTATAAATCTTCATTCACTGACGTTGTGTATTCATTTACCCTTGTAGAGAATTTAGAGCTCAATCACCAAGGCTAAGAGGATAAACTAAGAATTTAATCTAAAAAAGCAATTATAAATACATTAAAAAATCAGCTAAGTAGCTAAGACTATGTAATTGGCTAAAAGTTTTAAGTTTGATATTAAATAAATAATGGTAACTCTAAACACTGATGCTATGCAACCATTTACATTGGAATAGAGAGGGAGAGTAGGGGAGAAAAACAGAGATTAGGACCCAAAGAATTGATGGGGAAAACCCCATAAAAGTAAGAACAGTTCTAGCATGTGGCTTTTCAGAGGGACTAGCTGAGCTCCACGAGGGGGAAATGTCCCGGCTGCACCAGGATGTCAGGCTGTGTAGATCACCACACATAATACAATGTTAAACTGCTAACTGTTAAAACTGTTCCCAGGGAAAAGTTAGGAGTTTTGCTTCAGTTATGGAGGTGGAAGAATGAGAAGGCAAGGGTGGTTGATGAAGAAATTCAGATAAAACCCCAAAAAAGGGATTTTGAAAGCATGATGGGGTTCAGGTGTTCAGTGAGCAGTGGGGGAAGGAAAGAGTCAGGGTCAGGTCTTGAGAAAGTATTGCAGGTTAGGAGACAAAGTGATGAGTCATAACAAATTAAAAGAAAACAATGGGGGTGGGGGTGGAAGGCACTATTAAAGTATAAATCAGATTCTAATTTTTATGTATAAAAATGAAAAAATAAAAACATTTATAAAATGGATTTAAAAGTGCTACTATTAATAGCATTGGTGGTACTTTTCTGTAATAGAAGAAATGAAACTCAGAATAGTAATTGAGGTCCTAGTTTATGCCAAATGCTGTGCCAAACCATGAGCTACAATGGTGACTCAAAACAAAAATACATTCCCATCACATACTCTAGCTTATAGTCTCAGAGGGAGACATACTCAGACACACACAACACATACACCACATATAATCAAACAGGAAATTTACAACTGTGACAACTGCTGAGAAAAACACATGAGGAAGATAATATGAGAGCTTATAACAACAGGTTGCCTTGAATAGTCAATAGTCTTGGAAGAGTCACTACAGCAAAAATGGTATGGCTTTATTAGGCAAAGTGGAAAAGTACCTACATTTGAAGTTGAGGGGAACAGTTGATAAGGAAAATACACAGCAGATAAGGAAAATATAGGGATCAAATCTAGGTATCCTGAGGAATGTGTAGTTTTTATTTTATTCATAATTCAATCTGGTTGTGTCATTTACAGAAAACTGAAAAATGCTGACTTTAAGCCACTTCCATTAAGCTACTGATATACTGCTCTTCAGCCCATTTTCCCTGACCAAATTTTAGTTCCCTGAAGAGCATGTGGCACAATTCATGGAATTTTTGTATTGCCACAATTGAAATATGTTTTTCCTAGTGTTTATTTAAAGTAAGGACTATTCTGAAAGTTGATGCATACATTTTTATATGATGTTAGCAGAAATAATTTGCCTTTACTAGGTGAAGAAAATCTTGCTCCACTCAAAAGTCAAGTATGCTACTTCTCAAAGCATGGTCAGTGACCATCTTCCCCGCAAGATGGTCAATGATCAATTGCAGATTAATTCATTTTTTCTCAGCGAGTACTCAAAAGGTGCACTCAAGAGTGTACTTTGTCAATGCATACTCAAAACACAATTACTGCCCACAGGTCACTTATAGTTCAACACATGATTGGCATTCTTGACAAAGAAGGGTAGGATAAAGGAACCATATGCAGTCATGCTCAATTATGTCTTATTTAAATCAGCACAAAACTGCTGTGGCATGAATCATTTAATTGTCATTTTACAGATTTGGAATCTTAATCTGGGCACATTTAAATATTTTAACAAATACTCCATAGCTAGTAAATAGTGAATGTATCGTAAGTTCAAATGTCACAGTTGATTATTTATAGAATAAGTAGAAAATGCATATGATAATAATTTAATAAAATAAATCTAAGTATAACCTCGAGTAGTATTACGTGTTTGATGTTGTTACTTCAGGAAATTACATATAATTGAAAAAAACCTTTTGAAACAGAAGGAGAAAATATTTTTGCAAATATGAAAATATTTAAAGAAGACTTTCCTCTTTGTTTTACTTCATTCAATATCTCTTCTGCTTTTCTTTTTGCACATTTCTATATTGTATCAAGTGATCTATGGACTAAAAAAGGAAAAATAAAATATTCCTATAGAATCATTCTAATCAGTAGTGTAAATTCCCCAGCTTATTTTAAATGAATCTATACTTGAAGACTAGTTGTTTATTTGATAGTTTGATTCATTCATTTTGTGACAAGTAAAGCAACTATATCTATGGGTTAGGGCAGACCCCTAACCTCAATAAGCTTACTCAGAAACCAAATAGGTTATACACATATTTAATAATTGAAATTATGGGAATAGTACTATGAACTACTATCTAGTTTTTACAGTACAATTCTGTTAGCTAACAATGAATGAATATTTTTAGAAATGTAGAGAAGCCTCTTGAAATCTATTTTCTCATAGCAGTCAAAATAATTTTAGCCCAAGACACCAGGGTGTGTGAACTAGTGATCAATCTATCTCCATATTATTTCTCTCTCCAGTGTACTCCCTTCTCCTCTAACTGTATTCTCTTTAGGCTGGTTAATAATAATAATAGCTGTTTGTTCATAGTTGATCTCAATCCAGAATTCCTCTTGGGGTGTATCTGCAAGTGTATTTGCCCTTATTATGTTCTGGCAGAATGTGCTAGTACTTGATATTCTTCCATGACTGTGACTCCTGGGTAAAGAATAATCTTCAAGAACAGGGAAAACTTTTTTGCAACGAAACATAGATCATGAGTATGACTCCTGGGTAAACAAGAATCTTAAGGAACAGGGAAAAACAAAACAAAACAAAACAAACTTCTATGGAACTATGCATAGCTCTGTGGTGACTAAGGGCCTTTATATCAGCCTGTGAGTTGATACACCACATTAAATATTACAACTGATCATGTGATCATTACTTGGTGAAAATCAGCAAATAAATATGGAATTCTAAGGACTATTCAGGTTTTCAGAATAATAAGACACATGATTACAGTTGGATTCAAAGAAAATAACCAGTTAAGTCTGTTTCTTCTACAGGAAATGTCCATTTCTTTATATATTTTTTTACTAGATTATTTAACAAAAGTATACCCTCATCCACTAAGTAAATTATATTTTTCAGAGAATGTAAATCATGTTGAAATGTTACATTCTTGACAATGAACATGTTTAATTGAATAATAATACAAATATTTAAAACTCTTCATAGTAGAGTTTCTGTTTTTGTTTTTGGCCATGCTGCGTAGCATGGGGGATCTTATTGCCCCAACCAGGGATCGAACCTGCGTCCTCTGCAGTGGAAGTACAGAGTCTTAACCAGTGGATGGCCATGGAAGCCCCGAGTTTCTGTTTTCAACCATTCGCTTTTCATATTTTCATTTTCTTTATACTTTATCACATGTCCTGAACTTTAATAGAAGTAAAGTGCACCAACCAGCAAGCAACACCCATGTGTCTGGCACTTTGTACATTACATTTATTTTCTCAATAATATATTGATTACAAATATTTGATAGCAATAAGAAAATTTTAAAAGTACCCTTTAAATTGACTAACCTGGTTTATTTCTTTAACAGGTAAAACATATATGATATACAACATATTTAGCTAAGTGCATATCCTGAAATCAATTTTATTTCCACAGATGGTACATTTTGAGGGATTAGACAGTCAAATACCTCTGTTTTACTCTCCAGCTCACACATCAAGGGCTCCCTGTTTGCTATTTAACTGAGGAGTCAGATCTCGGCTGAAATGTATAAAAGTATTATGTAAACTAGATTGTTTTCATAGAAGTTTATTCTAAAATTAACTTTTATATTTCCTCTCAATCTAGTTCAGGAGAAGTGGTCTATTCCCTTCTTGGAGAGTCCCTAAATCTCATTTTTTTCCCACTTGAATTGAGTTGTTTCAGATTATACGTGGCTTCAAAGAAAACCAGTTAAGTTCTATTTATTCTACAGGCAAATACATTTCTTTATGTGTGTGTATTTGAACACACATATACGTATATATGTATCTTTTTTTGTTTACTAGGTTCTTTATTTCAAGCATCTTTTCTGACCACAATGGCATGGAACTAGAAATCAAAACAAAACAAAACAAAAAAGAAACGAGAAAAAACAATTATGTGAAGACTAAACAACATGCTACTAAAAAAAAAAAAAGGGTCAACCATGGAATTAAAGAGGAAATTTAAAAATACCTTGAGACAAATGACAGTGAAAACATAACTGCACAAATCTATGGAATGCAGCAAAAGCAATTCTTAGAGGGATGTTCATAGTGATACAGGCCTTCCTCAAAAAATAAGAAAAATATCAAATAAACAACCTAACCTACCACCTAAAAGAATTAGAAAAAGAAGAACAAACAAAACCTAAAGGCAGCAGAAGGAAAGAAAAAAAAAGATCAAAGAGGAAATAAATAAAATACAGATTAAAAAAAGGAATTAGAAAAATCAATGAAACCAAGAGTTGGTTTTTTGAAAGGGTAAACAAAATTGACAAACCTCTGGCCAGGCTCACCAAGAAGAAAAGAGAGAAAACCCAAATAAACAAAATAAGGAATGAAAATGAAAGAGGGAAATTACACCTGATACCACAGAAATACAGAGAATACTATAAACAATTATATGTCAACAAATTGGACAACCTAGAAGAAATAAAGTTTCCAGAAACATACAACCCACCAAAACTGAATCAAGAAGAAATAGACAATTTGAACAGACCAATAACTAGAAGTGAAATAGAATCTATTAAAAAAACAAACAAACAAAGAAACAAACCCCAAAAAAGAAACAAAACCTCCCTGCAAACCAAAGTCCAGAAACAGATGGCTTCACTGGGGAATTACACCAAACTTACAAAGAACTTATACCAATCCTTCTCAAACTCTTCCAAAAGACTGAAGAGGAGGGAATATTCCTAAAGTCATTCTATGAAGCCACCATCACCCTGGTACCAAAACTACACAAAGACGCTAACAAAAAAGAAAATTATAGGCCAATATCTTTAATGAATATAGATGTAAAAATTCTCAACAAAATATTAGCAAAATGAATACAACACATAAAAACGATCATACACCATGACCAAGCTGGATTCATCCCAGGGTCACAATAACGGTTCAACATATGCAAATCAATCAATATGGTACACCGCATCAACAAAAGAAAAGACAAAAACCACATGATCATCTCAACAGATGCAGAAAAAGCATCTGACAAAACTCAACGTCTATTCATGACAGAAACTCTTACCAAAGTGTATACAGAGGGAACATATCCCAACATAATAAAAGCTATTTATGACAAACCAACAGCCAACATAATACCCAATGGTGAAAAGCTGAAAGCCTTCCTGCTAAAATCTGGAACAAGACAAGGATGCCCACTCTCACCACCTCTCTTCAACATAGTCCTGGAAGTCCTAGCCACAACAATCAGACAAGAAAAAGAAGTAAAATGTATCCACATTGGAAGGGAACAGGTAAAACTGTCATTATATGCAGATGATATGATGTTATATATGGAAAAACCCTAAAGACTCCACAAAAAAATACTAGAACTGATAAACGAATTCAGCAAGATAGCAGGGTACAAGATTAACATACAGAAATCAGTTGCATTTCTTTATACTAACAATGAAATATAAGAAAGGGAAAGTGAAAAAGAATCCCTTTTAAAATTGCATCAAAAAATCCTTAGGAATAAAGCCAACTAAGGAGGTGAAAGACTAATACACTGAGAACTGTAAAACACTGATAAAGGAAATTAAAGATGATTTAAATAAACAGAAAGATATCACATGCTCTTGGACCGGAATAATTAATAGTGTTAAAATGACCATACAATCCAAAGCAATCTACAGATTTAATGAAATCCCTATAAAATTACCCACGGCATTTTTCACACAGCTAGGACAAATAATCCTAAAATTTATATGGAACCATAAAATACCCAGAATTGCCAAAGCCATACTGAGGAAAAAGAATAAACCAGGAGGAATAACTCTCCCAGACATCAGACAATACTACAAAGTTACAGTTATCAAAACAGCATGGTATTGGCACAGAAACAGACATACAGATCAATGATACAGAATAGAGATCTCATAAATAAACCCATACACCTATGGTCAATTAATCTTTGATAAAGGAAGCTAGAATATACAATGGGGAAAAGACAGTCTCTTAAGCAAATGGTGTTGGTAAAGTTGGACAGCTGCATGTAAATCAATGAGGTTAGAACACACCTTCACACCATACACAAAAATAAACTCAAAATGGATTAAAGACTTAAATATAAGACATAACACCATAAAACTCCTAGAAAAGAACACAGTCAAAATATTATCTGACATAAATCATACCAATGTTTTCTTAGGTCAGTCTACCAAGGC